GTCCCGCGCCTGCACGCGCAGCACCAGCGCGCCCGCCGCGTTGTTCTCCGCCACGTAGGCGCTGTACGCCGCCTCCTCGAACACCGGCGCGTTGTCGTTCACGTCCGACACCTCCAGCACCAGCTCCGTGCTGCTCCACAGCGCCGGCCGCCCACGGTCCTTGGCAGTGATAGTGATATTATAAGCCGAGACATTTTCTCTGTCCAGAGCACTGGCTATTATTAGCTTGTATGTGTTCTCTGATGAAGTTTCTAATCTGAAAGGCAAATTTCCGTCCATTTTACAGCTCACTTCTCCGTTTTCACCCGAATCTTTGTCACGGACGTTGATCACAGCTACAACTGTGCTCGGGATTGAGTCTTCGGGTATCGGGTTTAGGATAGGCAGGAGGGAAAGGGTTGGAGCGTGGTCGTTTACGTCTATAATGTCTATGTGCACTTTGGCGTGCGCAGTAAGCCCGCCCCCATCCTTGCCTTCAACACTCACTTCGTAATATTTCCTTTCTTCGTAATCTAAGAGGCCAGTAACCTTCACGTCCCCGGTCCTGGGGTCCAGAGTGAAGAGCTGGCGGACACTTTTTGCTATGTCGCTRAAGGAGTAGGTGATTTCTGCATTTGTACCTTGGTCATTGTCAGTAGCTTTCACCTGAAAAGCTAAGGAGCCCTCTGGCAGGTTTTCCATCAGTCGAACCTCGTAGATTTCTTTGGTGAATACTGGGGGGTTGTCATTTGCGTCGGTCACGTTGATCTTTACCTGAGCGGTCCCGGATCGGACTGGATCCCCACCATCCACCGCTGTCASTATCAAATGGTGATGTTTCTGTTTTTCTCGATCTAACATTTTCTCCAATACCAGTTCMGCGTGTTTTGTCCCATCAGGGCTCTCCCTCACTAAGAGGGAGAAGAATGGATTGGGGGTAAGTTCGTAATTCTGTAAAGAGTTCACCCCAATGTCGGGGTCTCTGCCATTGCCCAATGGAAACCTGGTCCCAGGAGGCGTCGACTCGATAATTTCTRTAGTAACAAATTCTCTATCAAACTGCGGAGCATTGTCATTGATATCCTGGATAGTAACACTCACATGAAATATGTCAAAAGGGTTTTCCACGACTGCCTCCAAATTGAGGACACAGGGTGACACGGACCCGCAGATGCTCTCTCGGTCTATCCTGTCGTTTACACGCAGATTTCTGTTATCTTCCTCCAGACTGAAGTACTGCTTTTCGTCACCAGCYACTATTCGCAGMTTGCGCGCCGGSAGCTCGYCCGCGCTGAGCCCCAGATCCCGCGCCAGCGGCCCCACGAGCGAGCCTCTGCCCAGCTCCTCGGGGATGGAGTAGCGGACCCGCTCCGCCGCCGCCCGGCAGCACAGGCACAGCAGCACYGCTGCCAGCAACGCGACCCGCCCAGAGCCTCCCCAGCCCTGCGCTCCCTGTCTGACCTCCATTCCCYGCTGTCCTGAAGGATGTTCTGCGGACGATTTAAAATTAGGCTTTCCAGTAGCTGAACCAGTATCCGATAGAAATAAACATATGATATCCCTGATGCCTTTGGGAGGATGAGCTGAGTCGAGCAGCAGTTCCTGCTTCTCTCTCTGCTCTGCKTTTTGCGGAGCAGCGCTACGCGGGCGCCGGGGAGGAGCTGATGGCTGAACAGCTTCTCCGCCTTGGCCAACAGTGACACCCTGAGTCTGTGTCTGAGAACAGCAGTGTCCAAAAGAAAGAACACCCCTAAGGTCCTGCTCTGCAATCTCTTGAATGGGGAAGGATTGGAATATACAGGTGTTGTTGTCAGTAGTGAGAAACAGAAAACCTCTATCCGTACTGAAACCGTGCATCTAGGAACTCCCGTTGGCTAAATTCCTTACACTGGCAAGTCTTCTGCCGGACAGATCCTCCCCTGTTGCTTGAAAAATACAGGGCAGGACCTTGATCTCTACCCCACTGTAATCTTACTGATCTCTTGGGTGGGGTGCTCAGTGTCCCCGCTACCATCGTGTCGCCTCCTGAGAACACCACAGCGGTCAGACCTGATCTGTTCCCAGATCTTTCGACATTCAAAGCTCAGCATCATCTTACCAGTACCCATATAACCCAACCCGGAATTACTTTTATGTGTGTCTCCCACAAACCACGCCCTTARTATCCTAAACAGGCCGATGCTGCAGCTGATCTCAGGCATTAAGAACATTTCYTGGGAAATGCTGACTGCAGTTATGGTTTGAACAACCAGGCGTAAACAGACAGATTCCTTGTGAAAAGCTGTTTTATCTTAACTGTCAGTTAGAACTTCGTCTCTCTTACAGCAAAGGAAAAAAAAAAAAACAAAACCAAACCCACAAACAAAAAAATAACAACAAAAAATCCTAGAGGAAGGTTGTACCATCACAGCCCCTTATACAGAAGACAAGGAGAGGTCAGAACTATCTACTCAGTGGAGTTGCTCTGACACATACTCCAGTGCCGGGTCTCTGAGATGCCAGTGTCAAAATATCCTTCCCTTCTCAATAAGGTCTCATTAGAAAATGTGTTTTCCTGCTAAATGGTGCAGTTCATTGAGTCGAGGCTAATTCCTTTCCCTCCAGCTACATCTATACACTGTCTACGGTAACAAATAATTAACCTGTCAGAATGAGATGTGGATTTTCATGTRTAATGTTTCAGAAGCATCTCCACCTTATGTCGAGAGATGGATGTGGCTGTTTACATGGGGGGAGGGGAACTCTGCTGAAACATGTCGAAGCCAATCCACTGCCACTTATATGGCAAGAATTGCCTACAGCAACCCAGAGACACATTTTCATGCATCTTCAC